CCAGGTAAGAACATTCTCTGTGTTTGTATGTTTATTTTTATTGATTATATTGATTCTTAAAGCCTTTTAGATATACAAGTGCATTAAGAGAGGCAACTAATGAAATATCTTAGAGTACAAGTCTTCCAAGCTGCAGTACCAACATTCTGAAAGGAGCTCTGCAGAAAATTTATTTCATTGTTGGAAGGTCATTTCACTGATATAATTAAACTTCCTATAGGAATCCCTGGGATCTTATGCATAAAATCAACATCTGATTCCTTCTTGACAACACAACCCAGGTTTCATGGAGGGAAAGACATTTTTTTAATCAAAAGAGTGAGATCATGAAAGAGTTAGAACAGGGCAAAAATTTTATTAATTCTTTCCAAAGCATGCAGTAAGCAAATTCACGGGAGTCTACACCAACAGTTGCTTCAGAAAACTATCCCAGGTTAGTAAAGAAACTTTTAAAGTAGTTTCAAGGCAAACAATCTCAACCAAAGGCAGAAGGCTCTTACCATCAAACCCATCTTCCTCTGTCCCCAGTTCATCGTCTGAGCAGATGTTCAGCACATTTACCAGCATCTCTGTCACTAAAATGGAAAACAAATGCAAAATGTTAATACTAAACTTCCTTCATCTGTCAGAGATGCAGCAGTGTTAATGAAAATTCAGTACAGAAGTGGCACCCACATTTTAAACAACATGGACCTTGTTTAACACACATAGGAATATCAGTTTGAACTGTCTCATGTAGTTAAAAGGAACAGGTTTCCATAAAAATTGTTCCAAATATAAGGAGCACCAAAACAAACAGACCTTAAGAATATATGTTTACAAACTCTCTTTGGCATTGGTCAACGAACTAGGCAATTTTTGTTTTCTCCCTTTCAATACATTTTTGCCTCTCAGTCAACTTGGACAGCAGAACTGAGCACTCTCTAGCTGCTACATTGCAGTAGGGTTTAAATTCCCTGCTTAGCATATGGAACGACATTTTGATTGAAAAAGTTACAGCAAGGGGGATACCAGAGTATTTATTTCTTTATCCAGGTTTTGGATGCTGTACTTTGAGTACAACAAAACATTAACTCATGTAAGATGTCTAGAAAGGGGCAGAGTCTCTTGAAATCTAGGATAAATAGACTAGATAATCATTGTAGGTGCCTTGAAGCTGGAACTATTCTATCTTCAACAGAAACATTATTATCAGTGAATTCAGAATATATCCACAGCTTGTCTGCTTTGCAACTCAGGTATGGAAGGGTCAGCCTCAGGCTACCCCTAACCTAGTCCCAGCTTTCTGAATGGCAACAGTGAGACACTAACCAGAGAGCACACAGATTATCAACAGCCACAAAAAAACCCCAAACAAAACTCAGTAAAAAAATCACAACCAAGGAAATGGAATTTAGAAATCAAAAAAGCGAAAGTTACAAGGTAAAATGTGAAATCATTAGCAGATTGAGAAAAACTCCACTAAATCTACATGTAGTAAGCATCATTAAAAGGGTTACCAGGCATATCTAGCCTTGCACTAGCTATGCATGTTGAAAGTTTGTTTTTTTTAATCAAGTGGTAAATAAAATCCTTTTCTGTGACAAGTATGATGGCTTAGCACATTAGAAGGGTGGGACACAGCTATATTTTTCCTACATTAGTGAAGTATTTAATATTTTCCTTTGACAGAATTAGTGGAAAGATTTTCCACATTAACAACCACCAGCGAAACTAAAAGCCTCCTACCTTGGTTGGCCTTTAAGGAAAAAAAATCTATAAAAAAAAGGAAATCAATAAAAAGCTGTGTAGAACATAAAACTCATGGATGTAAGAGTTGGTTTTGCAGAGAAAGAGAAAAAGAAAACATTGATTTAATTTCTCCAGTCTCTAAAAGTTCCACGCAATTGGTAAGAGTGACTACTGTGAAGACATAAAGGAGGTGAAACAAAAAACCAACAAAACAAAACCAAAACCAAAACCAAGAATAAAAGATGAAGGAGGAGCGTTCATGGTCTCAGAACCTCAGCAAATCTGGCCGCGCATCCTGCAGCCTCACTTGAAGAGGCCACTGATGGGAAAAATGAACTTATAGAGCATCTTAAGAACTGTCACTTGTATGGAGAACAGGTCCATCCTAAAAACGGCCTGGCTGAGTTTACGGCTGAAGAAAATGAAGTGTCTTATCTGCTTCACAAGAGCCTGCACCACCCGTCAGCATGGATTATGCAATGTCTCCATTAGTGGAAACAGCTGTCTATTCTTTGTTAATCCCTGTTTTATTCTCTATGTGCTTTGTTCACAGAGACCTCAGGTGTCTCACCAGCAGCTTTCCTAGTACAAAAGAGTAGCTGAAAACAAAGCCAGTCATGACTGCAGGTAAGAGCCGCAGCTGGCTGTATTTCCAGTCACCTATTAAGAGAAAACTGTTATTCCAAGCTGCTTTTAAGAGTTTATTGTAGTTTTCTGGCAGTAATTGCTGTTGCAGTAATATACTATAATGGATGGATCAAAGCAAGCTTCATCTCAGGCCCTGATTAAAATGACTTGGGGTTTAAGCAGTTTGCATTATGTATTCATTTAATAAGTTAGACCAAAGTGTTTTCATGCCTTTTGTGTGCTTGCCATTCATAGCATGAAGTTGTCTTCAGGCAACATCAAGAGCATCATGTTTCAATAAAACATCATTTATATTCTTTAGTGTTCTCGCCAGCGAGGAGGCACTGTCTGCCCTGGGCAGAGAAGGGGCTGAGGAGCAGGTTTTTCTTCTTCCTGCCATCTCCCTACTCTCTCCGGGAACAGTTAACCAGACTGGGGCTTAGCATCACCAGCTCTCTGTTTGCTGGTGAAAAAACAACCCATCATCATCATCTTACCAGAAATGTCAGCTGGGTAAGGATGTAACTATGATGTAGTGAGGTCTGTTATGATGTCCCTTGAGCAGTGAGCAATATCCAAGGGATTGCCCAAGAGCTTATAAAGGAAGAACTAATAAGAATTTTATTCAGTGAATGCACCTCTGGCCTGCAATCTCATAAAATCTGTTTCTACAGCAGAAATATAATGGCATTATAACCTGAAAAGAGTGGAAATTATAAAAATATGTGAGAAGTGTGATTAACCACTGGCAATTGCTTGCCCCTCTGAGGCCAGTTTCTTCAAATTTGTCCTCAAAAGCAAGTCATTTGTCTTCAAATAGTTTTGGCCATTTCAAATAGATGAGGCCATATTCATAGTGACTAAGAAACCACTTTGGAGTTTCTATAAACAGAGCCAACTGACATACCTTTCTCACCCACAAATGGCAAGGACCAGGTAAACACATCCATAAAGTTTGGAAGCCAGTACGGATGAGGGGAGCAGTTGAACTGTCTGATATTCATAACGTTGTTCTCGTATTTCAATACTGCAGCTAGAACGGGAGAAATGAAAGAAACAAAGGAGATGTCAACCATGCACGTGTGACTGGCTGCCAGCCCCATAACGCGCACAGCCTGCAGAGCTGCTCATCAGCTTTTCAACCCAGCAGCAGCACTTGACTGCTCGTTATAGTGGGCTACAGCCTCAAATGAATTGCAAGCCATTTCCAGTCTGAAAGCAGTGCCGTCAGCTTGCCCCAGCACTATGGATCTGCCACCAGAGGGGAACAAGGCAGACTACCCACAACCACCCATTTCACACAGTTGCCTGAGCTCCTCACAACCGCACTTTGGAGATAACAGAGAGAAGTGTTTATCACTCAGAGTCTGAGTGCAGCTCTTCCAATGAACACTTTCAACATATTTCATAGTATTGTACATAGGTGATGATACTTTCTTCTCATATTTTTCAACCTCTAGGCACATGAGACTGTGCTCCTGATAGTATGAATGAATAATAACACGATTTGTCTTGTGCCATTTAAAATCTGTAACATTCTTGTCAACACACACAGAAAAAGACTACATTTGCTAATGGACAGAAATATAGATATTTATGCCATTGTCACTGTTTAAATTACCAAGTCAAATTCAGTGTTAACTTGTGTTAATGGGCATCAGGTTCATATCTGAGACAGGATCTGATTAACTTTAACCTGGTTTTGCAATATTTTTGCAAAGTAAATAAAAGTATTGCTAAGCACATCATTAAGAAACAGCTATTTATTTCTAGAAGAGACCATAGCTGTGCCCAGGCCCAGTGCAGTCAAAAGTCAGATGAGAGAGGGAAAGGCTGAATGCGGCTTGGGTAGAGAGGGCAGAGAGCACAGGTGGGAGAGAAAGGGAAAATATCCACTTGGTTAGGGAGGAGCAAAGTAATTATGGTGAAAATGCTGCAGATTAAATAAAATGAACTCTAAAATAAACCTAGATAACTACCTTTATCAAAACTCATTTTCCAAAGCATGAAGTTTGCCCAACACTATGCTAACACTACATTCCACACCAAATCTGGACTTTCAGGCACTTCTACTTTATTTATTTTTTTTATTAGCAATAAGTGGTTATTAGAGTGGTGCAGATTACTCAAATCTCAGGCCATTCACTGAGACTGCCTGGAAGAACACAGAGTGGGGATGGGATCAGCAGCTGTTTCTATCCCAGGTCTATTGGTTGGCTTTAAAAGAATGTATTTAGGGAGAGCTTTCAATAATGCGGTCTTTCAATAAAAGTCATCCAGTGCTGGATTTCTATTGTTCACTTTATGGGCCAACTGTCTCAGCTTGGGAAAAAGTAAAACTAAAGCTCATCCCTCCCTTCTTCTTTTATTTTTGTTTCTTGACTGTCTTCTTGCAAAGACACATGTGATGTATAAATCTTAATAATGCATTTAAGACTGAACCTGGTAACGGTATCTCTAACCTAATTTGAGTATATTTTAATCTACATAGTGTGTTTCCTGAAATTCTGTAATTTCTAAATTGCACAGGCACAAAATCCATGTGCTGCTGGATGTGAAAAGAGCAATTTATGAAATATACAAGGGTAAAAATTAAAAGAGGGTAGATTAAGATTAAATATTAGGAAGAAATTCTTTACTGTGAGGGTGATGAGACACTGGCACAGGTTGCCCAGGGAAGTTGTGGATGCCCCCTCCCTGGAAGTGTTCAAGGTCAGGTTGGATGAGGCTTTGGGCAACCTGGGCTGGTGGGAGGTGTCCCTGCCCATGGCAGAGTTGGAACTGGATGAGCTTTAAGGTCCCTTCCAACCCAAACCATTCTGTGATTATTCCATGATATGATATGAAATGCAGCGTATAGCAACATTGACCAAAAAGGGTGAACAACTTCTTCTGATTATTCAGCTCCTTCCATAGACTGAAGCTTGTGTCAATCAGACAAGAAACTTTTTGATGCACTAGACTGTTCCTTTGCACAAAATTAATAGGTTGCTAAATGTCTTCCATTTTGTGGCCAATGACAGAGTTCAGCATGACCTGGGAGTTTCTGAAGCCCACTCACAAATCCACACAAAAATGGCTGCTAACGTTTACACTAACTTTTGCCAGGCAGACACTCTCCATTTAAATAAACCACATTTGACCCTTACCCATCTGAGTCTGACAGTTGTCACCCGTTCTGATTCTCAGGAAAGTAAAAATGGCTTAATACAGCTATTAGCAAAAATGAGAAAACTAGTGTTGATGTTCTTAATATTCCCATCACTTTTTGGCTGAAATTACGTACAGCAGATTGAAATTCATTCTCCTCCTATTACAGTGACACAACTGCATAGCAAAAATAAATAGTTTGTGGTTTTATAGCAAAAATGAGTCAAAACCACGCAAAAAGGACCACTTAATGGTTGTGAAGTTTCATTTAGAAGGACTAAAACTTCAACTTTGTCATCTTAGTGAGCCGAGGTAGTTTCTTTTCCCACTATTTCTTTAATTTATCCATTAAGTCTTTTTCTAAATTCTGTGAAAGTTGAATAAATAATTTTTACAAGGAACTTGTAAAACTGGCCTCTAAAAAAGCCTAAACCATAAGCAGAACAGTTGGAAAACAAAATTAAATATAAATGGCCTTAGTTTGCTGTTTGTTTGGTTGTGGTTGTTTTTTTTTAAAAAAGACGACAGTTTATTTTGAGATTACTGAAAAAAATCTTCACACCACCTTATTAATTTATATACCTAAATATAATACAAAAGTTCTGATAACAGTATTTGAAAAACTGTTCTCTTCTGTAAATGACTTGTACAGCTCTCCCCCACAAAGGACTTCAAAAGCCACTTGAAGAAAAATAACGCTATACAACAGAGTAGCATAATAACAGAGAAAGAAGTCTTTTAACATAACCTTACTCTTAAAAGAATAAAATAAGGTAGGGTAGTTACCAGTATCACAAATACTTTAGTGAATTTTTAATTTAAAATCTTCCATTTACTAGCATAATGTTCATTAAATATTTTTACTTGGTTACTAATGAAGACGATATTTAACACTAAGCAAACTGGCTCTTGTTAAGATTGTGCAGTTCCGACTCCTGCTTAGTAGTCGGGAGAAGAAACTTCACCTGCATCAAGAAAAAAATGCTTCTTGGATAACAGCAGGAGTTCCCCTGAGCTTTTCTGTCCCGTGCTTTCTTTCGGTCATAGCCCTTTTTCCCCACCTCTGATAGCTCAGAAAAAGTTTGGAGGTCTCGCCTCTGCTTAATTTCTTAGTCCACATTAACTTGATGCCTAAGTAGCTACAGAAGACCCCAGCTGCCCTGGAAAAGTGGGAATCTTTTGAAGATTATATGGCTACGGGCCACACGGTTGCTGGTGAAGGAGACAGAAGAAAGAGGGATGGGTTCATTTGGTTATGAAACCCTCTGAGCAAAACATGCCGCTCTCCAACATTTCCAAGTTCAGTTGCTTATTATTCCAGGCTGCAACCTCTACGCTTTTCTTTTCAAACATATATTCAGACAGATGGTAGCAGACCAAGCCACCAGTCACAGTTTTATTGTGTATTATCACCAACCAGAGCAAGAATCTTATTTTATTATTCTTAACAGCCACACACATTTTAACCCAATTTTGATACTTGCTGTTGTAAATGAGTTTTAGAAGCTAATGTTTTGTAAAGTTCAGATGTGCAGATATCCCAAATGACATTATACTTCTTTCCAATGCTAGTAAACTGAGATATCGGATGCTGAAATCACATTAGAGTGAAATGAAACACTAATGCAGCAGGCAAGGGGTGTTCATACTGTTTAGCTTTAAGCATTTAACATTGTTACCTAAGGCTGGAAATAGGGGTGGTGAAAAATGTGCAGGTAAGAAGGCTCCTTCCTTCAGCTAGAAATGGAGACAGCTCTTCTACCTTTCACAGGGTCAAACACAAGCACTCAGTGCCATCCAAGATCCCCTGGGGCATCTCCTTGGTCTCCCTCTCTTAAAGATGAGCCTAAAGCACCACTGTCTCCTGCGTTGTACCTGTCAGGTCTGAGTGGATGTCTCAGATCATTGTGGCATCTCAAATGGTGCTTTAAAAGCCTACAGGTTGGGAGCCAAACTAAGGCCTTAAGCAACATGAACAACATTAATCTGTGTGACTGCTAGCTCAGAATTACCCAAAAACATTACATACCCTGCTTCAAGATCTGCCAAATCATTTTTCTGTATAATTTAATTGATAACATTTTCATCAGAGGAAAAAAATAATAAGCATGGTAGAAATACCAGCCCAGGATGAACTACATGCTTTCAGATAAACAACCCCAAAATAATTTCAGCAAACAACTAACTTTCTTGTAATGTTTTTGGAAAACTCATTCTGCATTTAGAGAAGAAATGCAGTGAAAGGTCTCTCAAATTCTTCATACCTATGAAAGAATTTCAATTTCTGATTTAATGCCAAATTAACTTCAGCATTAACTGTGCAACTGGGAACAGCGCCTTCTCCTCCAGCAGAGTTGCTAAGTAACCACAGCATTTTCTGCCCAAGATAGGTCAAGTTAGTAAAATGCTTAAGGTATTTAAACATTATCAAAGGAAAAAACTATTTACTACATAAGGTAATGATGTAAATAATCCAGTACAGAAGTGGGGCTAATTGCAGTTAGGAAAACTCTTCCCTGAAAGAATTCTGAAGTTTCTAATTTTACATGTGCAATTGTATCTCCCAAAGAAACAGCGCAATAGCATCCAAGATTTTGTCAATAGACTGCAAAAATCACTCCTGGTGTACTTCTCTGCATCGGCAATGAGCTGGCCTAGATACCCTGACAGCTCCTCTTTACAAGCCTCTGTTTCCATGACAAGGCCTCATCACAACAGCAGAGATAAAGCATTAAAGAAAACTGATAGGGCAAACAGAAGGTTACCAGGCTTTTCTATTGCTATTCTTTCTCAAAGATCATCCTTGCCTTCCAGGTATATTACACTGCCTTTTTCAATATGAAAATCATTTTCCTGTTAGATCCAGGTACATTTCTTAACGTATATCTGTGGTATGCCACATACTGATACTTTATACATGCTTCATTGATATATTCCTTATCTGATACATTAACAAGCACACCAGCGTACAGCTGGGTTTGATTTTCCTAGTATCCCAAACACCCCTACATACTTTGTTGTTTTTTTTCTTTCACTATCTGCTTTTCCTTTCAGCAACACCACGTGTACATTGCAGCATGTTGGAAGAGACATCACATGACTTATTTTCAATAGCTTCGGATTATCTTGTGGTTATCTCACCATCATGAAACCTCGTCTTCTAGAAATGTTCAAAAAAAAATAAGAGTCTGTCTTTAGACAGCTATTTATAATTGTTCACTCAGCCAAAATGGCCTGCCTCTGTATAACTTCTGTAAATCTCACTTGCCTTTTTCGTTGCTGTTGTGGCATGAACAGCATTACAGCAAGTCCTAATTAAGGCATTAAGAAATATTAAATGCGGGAATGAAAGTTTAGACACGGTACACGGCCAGTAGATCATACAATGCAGTAATTTTTGGCACCCTCTTACTCTGCTGCTATGGAGAATTTCCTCCTGGTGATGGACGACCTCCAATGCAGGGGTAAACCTGTACTTACTTACACAACTTTCTCAGAGTTTCTTGATCAGTGCAGCCTCCCTTTGAGGCCAGGAACTCACAGGTAGCTATCACAACCCAACTAACATTTACCTTCTTGAATGAGGAGTTTGATCCTCTCCAGAAGGAGTAGCCTTAGAAAATCATCAACACCCCAGTATTTCTTCTAACAGGTTTTAATAACAAACTTGAAGTATGTTTTTCTTTTTGCTATTTAGTAATAGAAACGAGAGGACAAATGTTAGAGAAAGCTTTTAAAACACCGAACAGAAGCTTGGAAGTTGCCAAAGCACATATGTATAAATTCCTCACTTTTGCCAATACTCTCCATTATAATGAAAATGGAAGGAATTAATAAAAATAATGAAGAAGGACAGTCTTGGAAAAAAGAAGGACACCAGGTTCCTCATATCTAGGCAGTTTCTGAGTCTCTGAACCACCTCCTGAAAGCGTATCTCTATCTCCATTAATGACACAGGGAACCCCTGACAGGAGCCTCCTAATTGGAAAACCTAACTTTGGCACCCGAAGTTGTGTGTGTGTGGGGGCTGGGGTTGCAACAGGACCAGCAGCCACATGACGGACAAATTACTCACACAGCCTTTGAGAGGCAACGGTCAGCAACCAAAAGGATACAGAAAACTCCCTGCAGTGCCAGAACCCAGCAGAGCAAAGCCACAAGAGGTTCCCCTGGTGAGTTGGTCCTGTGAGACAGCCCATGAGGAGGGTCCACAGCAGAATTAGGAACAGCAGATATGCTGAACATAGTCTTGTCTGGGTACCTTATCTTCAGCTATTGCTGCCAAACCTCCTTTTCCCCTGGGAATGCTGCCTCCCTGCTGCCCTTTGAGTGCACACCTGATCCCAGCAGCCACTCTGCAGCAGGGACTGAATAAGCCCTTGGATAAAGTTGGCAACCAAACCCACTCCTCCTGAAGTGCTTCGAAGAAGTACAAGAAAGTATATCTGCTTTAATGGGTATGAGCATTATCAATCTGGGATATGAAATGAGCACTCCTAGCCCCTTGCAGCTTAAGGAAAAAAAAAAGTATTTATCTTAAACAACACTGCATTTAAAAATGATCCATACATGCTACTGGGAGATAAAGCCTTTAGGATTACTTTATTAGCTAAGTGACAACAAGAAGCATACTAAGAATGCATACTAGAAAGCAAGGCACTTGCTAGTAGGAGAGTAACTGCTTTTTCAAGCACTGACAGTACCAAAACCCTAAATGATCTGTAAAAATCAATCAGGTTCTGCACCAGTGCATGGCAAGTCAGCTAGAGAAACTGTGCTCTAACACCTCTGTGTGGAAAAGCCTGCCTTCGCCTCCTGAGATCAGTCAGTCAGAAGCTCTGCACTCTTATTTAATTCAACTGCTGTAAATCAAGGAAGCCAACAAATAGCCATGTTTTGGACTGATTGAGGATGATGGTGTTTTTCTTCCTTGAAGAGGGAAACAAGCACCCAAGCACTACCCAGATGAAGATGCATGAGCAATGCAGCATGAAAAACTATGCATGATGTACTTTAAATGCCAAGAGCCAGTGCAATCAGTCACATGAAACAATGCGTCAAAACCTCTAATGAGAGAAAAGGCGGCAGTTAAACCCAACGGAAATTCATTACAAAGCAGCTAAAGGTCAGCCTCTAAATTTACAAGAAGTCATACATTAAAGAGTGGCACACCGGTGCCGATCTCGCACCACTGCTTATTTGCCTGAGCTCACTCAGAGCAGAGATCACCCGCAGCAAACCCAAACTTCAGCTGTGACCGCAGATAACCAGGGCCTCACAGCAGCTGGCCCACAGCTTTCCAACAGAAAAGCCTTTCCACCAGTCTCAAGACCTGCACACTACAGCAGAGCATCCTGGAACAAGGGAAATGATCCTCTCTTCTGAAATGGAGATAATGGAGAGGCACTTCTTTTCACCACCCAAGCTTTGTGATTTCAAATTCAGGATTTTGAATATTATGAATCATTGCTTTACACTTAACATTTGCCTTTATGACAAAAATCTCACACTGATCCCCCACTGCCTTCATGTGCCCAGAGCTGCCTCCATGGATTAAGAAACAAAAGATGAACCCTTTCTGTCACCTTACTTGTACAGATCCATACAGACCTGTCACCGCTCTGCCTTCGTCCCAAAGCACCAACCCAGAGAGTAAACACAGTTTTCCACCAACGGCTATGATGCTGCCAAGAAAATTAACACATTCCTTGTTTCATCCTGTGTTTTTTGGCTTGTTAGCACAGTGCCTATATTATTTACTTTTACTAAAGTAGCTACTGACTGCTCTGCTGGCATGTTTTTTGCAAAATGCTTTTATTAATTCTTCCACAAGTTCACACGTGTACTGAGAACGCTGAAGTGTACAAACTCCATTATTGAACAGTGAAGTGTTTCCTTCCTTGCACACAGTTCATGGCATAACAGCTTTTACATTATAAGTTTTGCAATATAAAATGATGCCTGAAGAAGCTTTCTTTTGCAAGTTTTTTAAAAAAATAAATTAAAAATTGCTTACTTCCTTTGCAGGCAAGTATCCAAATTAAAAATGTCTCTTCTCAAGAAAGATTAATCTCTTTGCAATGGAGCTACTTTCAAGAATACCACTGAGAAAAAAAATTATTTTGTTCTGCTCACAGAGGAACACAAATAACTTTAGCTTCACTGGGAATAGGAGAAAGTAAACATTACTGCTCATTTAAAGATATAGAAGGACAGGTTTATTAGAATGCTTTCTTTTTAGAAACATTTTTTTTTCCTAGTTCATTAGAGGAGATTCCAGGGAACGTAATAAACAAAGTCAGAGAAGCTGCAAACACTTGTATTCAGTGGAGTCTTTATAGACAGACCACTGACCACTTATTTGTGCAGCAACTTTTTTTTAAGCTAATGATATTCCATTTCCTACATAATAGTTTTCAGGTGATTAAAAAAAACCAACCAAACAAAACATAAAAGAGCTCAGACTATATCTATCCCATCCTTTATCCACTGATGATCCATCAAAGTCTGTTAGCTGGCTAGAGGGTGTGCATATACAAACTCCATTAATTTTATTAGAAAGGAGCAAAGGGACAAATAATTAATTATAAGGAACACTGGGCTCCAAACACCTCACCCACAACATTTCTTAATATAATTCTCTTCGTTATTAGAGCTGTTTTCAGTTTTGCTTCCTATGTAACATTTACTCAATAACTTGCAGCCAAACTACAGAAATATCCTAGGGCATATTAGAATATACGGTTATGTTCAAGAGGCATACATCTGCCTGTAATAAAGTTAATTAGATTAGTATTATGTAATAAATGGAATGGACATGAGCTAATAAAGAAAACAGGCATGAACTGATAAATAAAGGAGTGAAAAAGACAACCAATATAATATATTTGAGTAAAGATAAGTACAGTCTACAGTATATTAACAGGAATGAAATTCTTACCTTTGTTATTGTATACATCTAGATAGTTTGGTGCTGAAAAAATTGTGATTAGTGATGGGAAGCCTGTTGTTTGGCTTTTCCTGTACATACGATACCTAAAAGGAAAGAGAAGACACCAATTATTGCCCAGTGTTTTATGTGCATTTGTCACTGACAAAATACAGTGCAACACACCCTAGAACATTACTGTGCTGGCTGTTAACACATGCCAAGACAGAAAAACATGCATATGTGCTTTTAAAAGCCAGGGAAAAAAATACTTCCCGCAGACTTATTAATTATATTAATTTGGGATGGCCAGGGGTTCACACCATGCTCAAAAGCTGTGTCTCCACCTGAAATTCAGTGTGCCAGAGGGGGTTTTTGTTAGGAATTCTCTCAGTGCATGTCCATGGAGCCAGATGGCCTCTATCTGCGTGCACCCCTCTCTGGGCGTACAAGCGATGGCAAGGCCAGGGAAGATGCAAAGTGTGAGAAGGGGAGGGGAAAGAGGGGTCAAACATTTTCCGCGCTGTGTCCAATCTCATCCAGTCTATTAGCCAGTTCATTAATGCTTGCATGTTTTCATTACCCAACCTTGCTGCCTTATGAAAATAAAAGGCTTCATGGACCAACATATAATCAATCAAGCATTAAACCCGCAAGTGATTGCAGGCAAACCAACCAAATAGTGCTTCTGTCTTACTAAGACACAAGTAACTCCAAATACTGTTCTTTAGTCTTCAACTACAAGAAACTGAACAATTTGGCAAACATCCACAATAGCTGCTCTGAAACCATTGTATAGTTTCAATGCAATCCCTTCCACAAAACTTTATTTTTCACCCTTTATTGGAAAGCAGTACGCTAAAAATGAAATTTCATTACCCTTGGGTATTTCATGCCAGTTATTTTTGGCAGAGCAATAGCTTGTTTTTAATTGCATTGAGGTTTTTAAGTATGTGATAACTCAAACATTCAGAATAGCTTTTATATGCATAGTGAATATTGACCTCATTCTTACAGTCTTGTTACTTTACCTTTAATTACTATTCAGGTTGGGTGAAGTTTCTACATCCAAATAAACATATTAATAATTTATGCCAGATATGCAAAGCTATTTATTCAGAAACCAATTCTTCATTAAAATCTCACAAGTATGGTACATTTCAACAAGTAGATTTATTTTTTTTATAATTCTTTTAAAGCAGCATAAATAATTCTGTCTATACACTGGCAATAGTTTAATGAGGGCACATCAACACCAGCCGGTTCTTGACTTGGACTGTTTTTGCACACAGCATCTCAACTTCATAAATACATTACTGATACTCCCTCATGAAATAATGTTTGGCTATTGAGTCCCACAGGTTTATTTTCTACATAAACAAAATGAGTAGGCCCTGAAGTTTCAGGTTGGTGGAAAAGATTTAAGATACAACAGATCCAGGCTTCATGAGCCAAATGGCTTCCCAGGCATCGTGGCAACCAGTGTGGCAGTCAGTATGGCAAAAGTCTCAGGCACATTTACAAAACTTAATCTTGCTGAGCTGATTTTTATCCCCTCCTTCCCAAGCTTGGCATTCAAATCACTTTTGGTCATTTTATGCCACTTAAAATCACTAAGGCTAAGTAAGTGGGATATATGAGGATTCATGAAGCCCTGTAAATCAGTAATAAACAAAAAAGACATTCTAATGCCACTGTATGTTTTTATAGCATTAATAAAAAGTGAGAGCTGTTGCAACTTAATTGTAAGTTTTCCAGGTCATTCTCACTCAGTTATTCTTTCTTTCCTTTCTCTGACAATGGTAAGCCATTATTCATAATTAGTGGCCCCTCTCCGCACACACTTACCCAGCATCCTGGGCTTCATGAGCTCGAAGTATAGATAACAAGTTATTGTGCTGTAGGAATTCACACACAGCTGGGTAACTGTTGGAAGAAAATAATAGCACCTGTTATCGCATTATCAGAAGCACCATATTTGGCTCTAGCTTTCAAAAAAACGTTTCACTCAACATGCATCATTCATGAAATCAGCCCCTGCTCTGCAGGCAGATTACAATAGAGACAACATTAACAGCAGCACCTTCTTTTTTCTCCCACCCCATAACCACATGGAGAGGAACATTGGAAAGTTGCAATTCATTACACAACAAGAATCACCTTATTGCTCGTCAGAGAGAAAGCAATTTCTTTTATTATACTTTGAGATCCAATATACTTGGAAAAAGAAAAATGTGATATAATGGTTGCTTGCAACAGAAAACCTCCTCATCCACTAACAACTACAGTATGCACAGGCTGCTTATGGACACCAGATAAGGTGATGGTGGTGTGTGGAAAGGGAGGGAGAAAGACAGAAAGAAGAAAGGCAAATTGGTCTCCAAACTAGAGATGTTTGACCTGAACTTTATCTCCTTGATAAACAAGAATCATTTTTCCCCTTGGCAACTTGAAATGTAAATTCTGTGACTTCCAAAACCCCAAAGGTGTGCCTATTGAATACATCTTTCCCAGATGAGTTCAACTGTACAAGTGAAAACAAAATCATTACGTGAAAATGGTGATAGATATGATAACCTAGAATATAATAGGAATGATATGATAGAGCAATCTCAATCATTTTTCACTGCACATGAGCAGTGTTGCTTTCAAGGAGAACAGAGGAGCCCTTTCTTACAACCACAGCACCACCAAAACCATTCTTGCTGTTTAAGACACGGAACACACATGAAAACCACATACAAGAAGAACAAAACATAGCATAACTTGAATGCAGTTTTGACAGCAGAAGTGTAAAATATTAAGTCTTCAGAGAAAAGCTATTTAAAATTATACCTAAACAAATGTTACAGAACTTCAAATGACTCCATTTAGTTGCTTTTGAAAATAAGTTTTGGTTTTGTTTCTGTAATGACTGTTTTCTTCTTCCGTTTAAACCACTGACAACTCTCCATGCCTGTACTGAAGGATAACATGCACAACGGCCATCTATCACTTCAGGACAGGAAGCAAAACCTCTCTTCTCCTGTCATTAGTAATCTAATGCAGAACCCAAGAAAGCAAAAACTTCCTGGTTTCCCCTGTCAAAAAGCCAACTGTAGCAAGAGCAAAACAGGACAAAGAACATGCATGGAAGAGGGTAAAGGAGTAGTGACATTGGTATAAAAAAACCCCTTCAGATTTGGCAAAACTTTACCAGGCCCCTTAAAAATATCTAATGGATGGGAAAGAGGCTTTATTCAGATGACACCTAGAGCTCTTCCCTTTTCTCTTTCTTTAGGCCAGTTCCATACAATTTTTTTTACCTTTCCAGATTTATTTCCCACTCTTGAAACAAAGCAATCATTCTGCTGGCTGCTTTATATTTCATGATCTTTCAGCAGGGCAGAAAGCAGGCACCCCTGTGAGGTAGTAGGAGGCCTCATCCGCATCCTTGCAGTCTGGTGACAGGCACTTCTGAATTTAATGTTCCTCACTGGCAAGGATGCAGCATGGTATTGGCTCCCTTCTCACTAGCAACTTAAAGAAGTTGCATTTAAAACATTAAACCTGAGGAGAAACCAAGTGTTACCACTTTCTGTCACTATCTGAATTTACTTCCAGTACCAGAGGTTGACTGCACATATCAAAACTGGTGGCAAAAGGTGTAAACTTCACATAGCAGCTATGAAATGTCACCTGATAGTTGGAGAAAAAGCAAAACAGACCCTTGCATTAACATCATTCACAATGCTTATTTTCCACTGTTGGTTCAACTCTCCCATAGTTCAAATAATAAAGCAGCCAAAAAGGTTCAAACAAGGAGACATAAGGTGTTGGGAAGACACTAGGGCATCTCCATGATCACTATTGTACTGGTTCTGCAGCACGAGGGACTCGCAGGGTGCCTGTAAATAACACAAACTTGCAGAGTCTCTGAATCTTCAAGCATAACTCACACCCAAGTACTATGTTACAGGACTGTTTGTATTAGCAGAGATTCTGGCAAGTGCAGACCCTTTTGCCATACTTTAGGGGCAAGATGCAGTCATACAGTAACACTGCTTTACAAAATACTTCAGTAAAAGCTGTTGCTAAATGTAGTAAGCAAGTTAAAAAAATCTCAACTAAACATCATACAAAAGACCTCCTGTGCCAGCCATGATTTCATGGACCACCTTCAGAGCCCACTTGCAATCACATAACAGCCCCATCAGTTTCTAACACCATGCATAAGAGATGAAAACTCACCAAATAAATCAACCCAAACCCCCAAAATCTAATGCATCATCTTCCTTCAGTTTATCCAAGAGAGCTGTTACTGCTTGCCTCTAACCTTCCTGGATATTTTGAAGTGTAAATGTCATTGCAGCTGGAATGCTATATTGCTGCTTTTGCACTTGACCCATCTAGTATATATTCTCAGTTGCAAGTCTGGTATTTGGAAATTGTCTAAAAAGATTGCCATTATAAAATAATTTCAATTTGCAAATTACGTGAGGTATCGTTTTGGCAACTGCAGTGATCTCAAATGCTGACAGGCTGCCATTCAAACCAGCGGCAAATGAGAACTAATTTGCATACATTTCTTTTCATAATTAATTGTGACTAAATGTAGACTTATGGTACATTTTGTTTAGAAATTTTTACATTAACTTCTGAAAACTGGGGTCTATAATGAAAAATCTGATAGACAGTTGATTATGTTCATTATAAGTGCAGCTGCTCAAAATGTCTAGCCTATTACTTTTTTTTTTCCATAGTACTCTTTTCATCCAGTGTTAAGTACTGCTTTTAAAGAAGATATAATGAAGTGGCAAAAAATGCTCCTAAATAGACATGATAGGTTTCTCTTTCCATTTCAAAGTACAAAAGGGTTTTTTTTTATTCCTTAATTACCTTATTCTTCATAAATTTGTGGAAAAGGGACTTCTACTAGCAGAATTCAGCTGATTCTACAGGACTCATATCTAGAAAGGCGGAGATGTTACATAGCACTCCATGCAAATGCACAACCCACCCCCTTCCCCTCAAAATTTGGCTGTCATCTTTTCTTGTAAGTGAATAGCATGGTATCTGTAATGAGCACTCACTCATATTACCCAGACCACTACAATCCATGAGCAGTCTACCTGGATATTTCATTTTGAAAAAGGCAAAGCAACTCTCAGGTCTTTTTCTTCAGCTACCTGTTGAGCAGGGGCTGGGGAGAAGCAAGGTTTTCAGCACACAGAGCTATGACATATGCTATCTCAGTTGCGACAATAAATACAAGGCTTTAATTTCCACCGCTTTCTTAACAACGGCTTGGTCTGCCCAAATGCAGTTTCATATTCAATAATGTTCCCCAACACAAAAATCCATGCCCTCCAGGTAAACAGCAGGAAGTACTGCAAGATGTCACCACAACAGAGACTACAGCAAAAGTTACCAGAAACAAGCTTTTACAGAAAAGACTTCTGCTCAGGAATTTTTTTCCTAATCTAATGAAAACTACAATTTTGCAATCAAATTCCCTACGAGTTTTTTCTGATCGCTATCCTTCCAGAAACACTCTCCTCCTTGCCCTGCTTTGCCAAGCCCAGACTGTAATTCAGATGAGCCAGAAATAAAGCAGTTGGCCAATAGGGAAAACAAACAAACAGCCCCCCCACGCAACAGGCTTTTCCAGAACCACCCAGCCTGCTGCCTGCGCTTCATGTGTCATGCTGAATCATGGACGAGTGGTGACTCACGGAGAAAACAAAATACCCCACCACTAAGCTAGAGAGATGTTATTCTCCATGGAGGATGGTGACTGTGATATTCCCTACTTTGGCATTCTTTTTTCATTAAAATGCCTCATGCATAGTTTACTTGTGCTGAGGTCTCTTTTGCATGATCACTGGTTACGCAGTTTTGGAAGAGAAGCAGCACTTTGCTAACGTGAACCAACGTGGCAGATGTTTTCAAATTGCTCTTCCACCAGTAACTGGAGAAACTGCATGGATTTAATCTTTCTTTTTTTCATATCCTTCATCATACCATTAAAGCAGAGGCATAAACATTTTTTTAAAAAGAGGACATTCAAATTTAGCCCAGCAGCGTCTCTAAGATTACATGCACATATAAAAACAGGTTTTCAGCAAAAGCCGTTGGCCTCTCACATCAATCTCCAAAGGCAAATGCTTTTTGCTGCTCTGCTGTCCTATGCAGCTCCCAGCACATCTCTTTCCATCTGGTTTTTCTTCCTGCCCCTAGCTGTGCTGTCTGCAGAGCTGCACTGAGAAGTGGAGCAGGGAATTGCATGGGATTAGAACAAATAAACACGCATCTTTATTGCAGAGTCATTCCTCATAAAATTGGATGCGTTCCCAGGTCTGATGAAGCACACGAGCAATTCTACCAATACAGCTGGGCAGATAATGTGAGGGCAGCAAAAAGCTTCTGGCCTGGGAGAAGGAAGAATGGAAAAGTGGGCAAAAGAATCTGTTTAAAATGCTGCTACTGCAAAAAAACCCCCCACATTCATACAACTGTACCTCACACCCTGAGGTGAAACACACTACAGTCTTCAAAAGCTTTTAGCAGACCTGTCTCTAATCTTTGCATACTCACAAATTCAGCATGCATGTAAAGGAAACCACTGAAATGGTGGTTCATGTGCTAGAAGGGCCAAAATTATTCTTCTACCCCAGAGCATCTGTAATGCAGAATCATTTTGCTGCTGTCCAAGGCTGGCTAACGAGGTTCTTAAAGGAGTCTGCAATGCTGGTCACTCTTGCCCCTGCTAACCATTTCTGCCTTTGGTTTTTTTTTGTTGCTTTTGAAAAACATAATGTAGGCAACAGCCAAACAGCTTTATAAAGCTCAACATTTCTTAAGAACGTACATTAAACTCACTGAGGAAACTCAAGAGGCTAGAGCACCATGCCTGTGGAAAACTTCCAAATGTCTGCACTACTTCTGAGGCCATCCATTGACTTTGGTC